ACCAGGTTCAAGATGCAGGAAGCAGCTTCATTCATTCATCCAATTGCAAGCCCCATGCACGTATGGTCGCATCTCCTCTGGGCCACAGTTGTCGCTAAGCCACTGCCTGAAAGCAAGATGCGTTCGCGAACCATACTCGTATAATGCGCTCTCTTTGCCCCACTTATCTGTCACACATCTTGATCTCTCAGATCCCCGACTGCAGCGCGAATGATCACCGGCCCAATGATCAGCTGCAACTCGAATCTCCTCGGCAACCTCCTCAGGTGTCATGGGACGGTTCTCTCTGAAACGAGCGGCACACCGAGCCATCACATGATGAAAGTGTATGCTAAATCTCTGCGCCACCGTAACCTCCTCTAATACCCCGTCCGAACCCTCCCCCTCCTCATCTTGCATCGAGTCTCCACTCCTCTTCCGACTGCGTGGCCGCTTTTCTACCCATCGACGAGGTTGCTCTGGCGAATCGTTCTCCTCCCGTGTCGCGCCCGCCTGGCTGCCTGCATGTGCACCATGAATGAGGAACACGGATTGATATTATTATGTTCACAATGCACGGGGCGTTTGTTATATTATTCGGCAAAAAAGCACAGTAAAGAACGTACCCGAGGGGACTGCGTCGCAGGCCGACCTCGGGGCTGATCTCATGCCTCGAGTCGCGTCGGTGTGGCACGATGCGGACGCATGCAGGAGAAGCAACGATGCGGCTGAGCACGGTCGCACCCCATGATCAGGATGGGGATCATAACCCCACAGCTCCCCGACATCACTGTAATCTAGATTTGGCCCGACATCCTCCTCCACAGACCCAATAGTGTCATCATCGAGAATATCGATGGCAACAAAACCATCATACTTATTAGGTGCACGAATGCCACCAGCCCTCGCTCCCCCCTTGCCCCACCCCCCAAGGCCCTCATCTTGTTGGGACTGCATGACAGGTACAACCACCGACTCACCCGTCAAACCCCCTCCGATCTCTAACCCCTCTATGCTACCCCCGTCGTGACATGCATTAGACACGCTCGCTGCAGTGCATGTCGTACCTAGGTCGCGTTTGCGGCGCACCCGCGTGACACGTCGCATCTCCGGATATAGATAAGGGGAGTTATCTTTAGACAGGTCAACAAACCGGAACTTCCGCAGACGACATACTGCCTCAATCAAGTCCCGTTTGGTTTTTTTTCCCTTCACTCCTTTTAGACTAGGGCATAAATGAACCTTCAACCAGGCTTTGAGATCCTCTACCTTCACAGACCACAAGTCTTCACACGTTTCTGCCTTTGTGATGTCCGATACGACCTTACGTGCATCCACAAGAAACCTAACAAACTTGCGTGATAATGATCGACCTTTGTGCCAGACATCCATCTGGTGCTCAATCCCCTCATGAATGATTCCAACCTTGAAACTTGAGCCTTCATCGGTAATGATACCTTTGACTGGAAACTCCCACTTTTCCAAGTCATTCAGGCCGTGTTTGAAAGCAATTCCCTCAAGCTCCGTCGACGAAACTCCCACCTCAGATTTTGGCAGTGTCACACAATGAACTATCTTACGTGTTTTGGGATCCATGAATGTGACACTGACCCACTCGGCCTCTCGAGGTTGCCCCCACCTCCCGTCGACACACACCCAGTAACCATCCTCTTTCCTGGCTAGCATACACTCTCGCGCCCTTTCCATGCATCTGCTCGCATGCGTAATAATCTTCTCCCACAATCTTCCCGCCCCACTCATGTACCTATAAAAAGTTCTCTTGCATGGGATAGGCACTCCAAGGTTTCTACCAACCTCCGACAACGCCTGATAGCCAAAACCACCCAGGGCGAACGACGCAAGGAACCGCTGCAACATCGGTAGACGCTTCCGTCCAGGCCGGCCAGCCTCGTTGGGTGGTGGTTGGCGGTCTACCGACCACAGCGACATAGATTTACCGCACTTGTCACACCTCCAAACCATGCCAAGGGCAGCCCACATCATGTTCCAAGATCGCAACCTCATCGAACCTCCACATCCACCCCCCAGCGTACAGTGCAACGTCACCACCATGAAAAATCGAATGATGTGGACGGGGTTCAGACGACGTCACACAACCCTGAAAGGGATGGTTGTGCTGGCCACCGTCCGGGTGAGGTCTCATGGTGAATCTTGTACCCAGGCGCGTCCCTAACAGGTTGGAACTAAAGGTGTAAAAACGAATACGGTTTCCAATACGGTTTTTTATACGAATATTTTACGAGTAGTAGGCAATTTCGTATTTGGCCGAATAGCCCTCTTCTACCGAATCCGAATACGGTTCAAATAGCTGGTTCACGAATACTGTTCGAATACCTGGATCTGTGTCAAATACGAATACGAATACGGTTTTTACCATACACAGAACCTTGGGTCAGGGTTCTTAATAGGCCGTAAGCACCGCCGGTGCTTCCATTGCTGATGATATGAGTGAAACATAAGAAATGCACCTTCAGAAATCTAGGAGCATACCGATTGAAATAGTCGAATACTTATACGAATATCCGAATATTCGGCTGGCGAATAGCGAATATGTCGAATAGTCAGTTGTCGAATAAAAGTCGAATAGGCAGTGATTTCGTATTCGTTTTTTATTTGGTATTTGTCGAATACCGAATACGAATACGAATATGCTGGTATTCGTTTACACCTTTAGTTGGAACGTGGGGGGATGCAAAAAAAATGTTGCCCTAAACCACTTTGAGAATGATTAGTACCCCAAACGACAAATTATATCATGAAAACACTGCGTTGTAGTCAGTTGGCAATATAAAGGTCGTGACTATAAGCGTCACACCAACACATACCCTGCATGAGCTTCATCCTCGTCATTCTCTTGTGTAGTCGTAGGCGCGCATGCAGGAGGCGTGCCATGCCCATCTACATCCTCGTGCTCGACGGCCGAGGGGACCTCACCAACAGCCACGGGTGCATCCGGGTCAATGTCAATGACCACATGACGACGCTCCTCAGGCTCCTCGCTCCCGCCCTCAACAACTAGCGTGGGTGTCGTGGCCGTCTCTCCAGGTGCATTTTTAGAGAATATAGAAGCATTCTCACCAAGAACTTATGATCGGTGCTATTGGACGCTATCTCTGTGTGAAGGGTCTAGAGACGTTTGATCCACAAACTTGCATTGCATACCTTTCTGCAGCAACTCTGAATACGCAGTCCCGCGACGTGCACCCCCATGGCTAAACCTGGAAGTGCTGCTTCGTGCCGTGCCGTTGGTCACATTTGATGGGAACGCGTAGACCAACCCTACAATGGCACTCGCACGTCCAGTCACCAAGGCCTCCGGTCGGCCAATCGCCCGATCCTTTCCTCCTTGAAATTTTCCGGCAAACTTTTCCAAACATTCTTGCACGGCCAGTTCTGCCTCCACACCGTCAGCACCTGAACGCAAGAGATTCACACCAGAGTTGGCATCAGTGCATGTTCAGACCGTCCGTACTCAAAACATGCACCTGATCCGTCATTATGTTTCCGCGTTACTCACAGGCTTTCCGCCTGAAATTTGCGACTATGTATTGAGTCACTCACCAGCGTTCTTCGCGGCCATCATAAGAGCCTCCTTTGCTCCGGGACCAGCATGTAGGAGGAAGTACACTAAATCACCCAAGGTCGCCGTCCGACCTTCTCCCATCAAGGCGCTCAATCCAAGTAGCATATCGGTAGACGCATTTGTTTAGCTATCGCAAGACTCTCGTTGTCCTTGGTGTTCACAATCTCGTTCACCTTTGGCCTCCGTGCAATGGCCGTTGTTTTTTTCGGACGACCCATTCCACACACCTGCACGGAAACTACTAGCGATGCAAACGGGGAAGTGAGGCCAAGCAAGTTAGATACTACTAGCAAGGCAGAGGGGGATGGGTGGCCAAGCAGGTTGGAAACTACTAGCCATGCAATGGGGGAAGTGAGGCCAAGCAAGTTAGATACTACTAGCAAGGCAGAGGGGGATGGGTGGCCAAGCAGGTTGGAAACTACTAGCCATGCAATGGGGGAAGTGAGGCCAAGCAAGTTAGATACTACTAGCAAGGCAGAGGGGGATGGGTGGCCAAGCAGGTTGGAAACTACTAGCCATGCAATGGGGGAAGTGAGGCCAAGCAAGTTAGATACTACTAGCAAGGCAGAGGGGGATGGGTGGCCAAGCAGGTTGGAAACTACTAGCCATGCAATGGGGGAAGTGAGGCCAAGCAAGTTAGATACTACTAGCAAGGCAGAGGGGGATGGGTGGCCAAGCAGGTTGGAAACTACTAGCCATGCAATGGGGGAAGTGAGGCCAAGCAAGTTAGATACTACTAGCAAGGCAGAGGGGGATGGGTGGCCAAGCAGGTTGGAAACTACTAGCCATGCAACGGGGGAAGTGAGGCCAAGCAGGTTGCACATTGCTGTTCATGCATGGGGGAAAGTGCTGGCGAGGCAGAGGGGGAATTTAGGACAGAGAGGGAAGGGCAACGGGAGAGAGGCAGGACAGGGTGGGTACGGCAAAGACGCGAGAAGGCAGGGCAGGGAGAGAAGGGAGTAATAAGGTTGACTCACCTCGTGTAAAAATTTCTCCTTTTATGGGTGTAGGTGTCCTAGGCTGCGGTGAGGTGGTGGAAGGGAGGGGAGATATTAAAAAGGTGGGCGGAAGAGGGCGGATATGCGTGGAAGCATGTGGGCCATTGAGGGGTGTCAGATGGGGAAATAAGGGGAGGGAAAGGGGAAGGGATGGGAAAGGAAAGGGGAAACAATATCGCATGAGTGCCGTAGCGATGGACCGGGCGATACGAATGAGAGGGAGCGAGTAGTAGTAGGGGATAGCAGTAGGGGGGAAAGATGGGGATAGATTGGGGGGAAACATGAGGCATGGGGGGAAAAACGGGGCTAGCATGGGGGGAAATATGGGGCTATCAGGGGGAAAAATGGGTCTGGCAGGGGGGAAACATGGGGCGTGCAGGGGGGAAACATGGGGCTAGCATGGGGGAAAAAAGGGGCTATCAGGCGGGAAGCACGAGGATGGGAGTTTGAGGCTGGGGAACGCGGGAGGGGGAATGTGGAAGGTGGCGGGGAATGCGGAGGGGGGGATGCGGAAGGGGGGATACGCAAGGGGTTTTGCGGCAGGGGAAATGTGGAAGGGGGGAATGCGGAAGCACATGCAAGCCTAGACTGAAGGTAACTGATCTCCTCTTGTTCCATGCTGCACTCGAGAGCCCTCAGAATGGAAAGGGAAGGCGGTAAACACGGTACTTGAGGTGGAAATTGGAAAGAGAGGGTAGAGGGGAAGAGGGAGCGTAAGCAAGGAGGGAGCATAAGCAAGGTAAAAAGGGAGGACAGAGAATAAGCAAGCTTGAAGGAGCTGATTGGGTTGTAAGGGGGTGGAGAGGCATTGAGGCAAGCAAAGGGGGAAAATGAGCGAAAGGAGGGCGCGAAATAGGGGAGGCGGGTGGGGAAAGGAGGGGAAGCAGGGGGGGAAGGGAGGAGGAGCATGGGGAGAAAGGAGGGGAGGCAGGGGGGGAAAGGAAGGAAAGCCGTGGGGGAAAAGGGGGGAAGCAGAGGGGGAAAGGAGGTGAAGCAGGGGCGGAATGGAGGTGAAGCAGGGGGGTAAAGGAGGGGAAGCAGGAGGGGAGAGGAGGACAAGCAAGGGAATCTAAGGAGGGGATGTAGGGGGGGAAAGGGGGGAAGCAAGGGGTGAAAGGAGGGGAAGCCATGGAGGAAAAGGGGGGAAGCAGGGGGGGAAAGGAGGGCAAGCAGGGGCGGAAAGGAGGGGACGCAGGTGGAGAAAGGAGGGGATGCAGGGGGGAAAGGGAGGAGAAGCATGGGGGGAAAGGAGGGGAAGGATAGGGGGAAACAAGGGGAAGCAGAGGGGAAAATATGGGGAAGGAGAGAGGAGAACGAGGGAAGCAAAGGGGGAAACAAGGGGAAGGAGAGGGAGGAAACGATGGGGAGCGGACGGGGAAATGAAAGTGTAGATAGGGGGGAACGAGGGGAAGCAGAGGGGGAAATAAGGGGAAGGAGAGGGGGGAACGGGGGGAAGCAGAGGATAAAATAAGGGGAGGGAGAGGGGGGAACGAACCCCAGCAGAGGGGGAAATAAGGGGAAGGAGAGAGGGGGAACGAGGGGAAGCAGAGGGGGAAATAAGGGAAAGGAGAAGGGCTTTACGAGGGGGAGCAGAGGGGGAAATGAGGGGAAGGAGAAGGGGGAACGAGGGCATGGAGGGCGCCTGATAAGGCCATGTCGCATACTTCGGGTGAAGGTTGGAAGGGGCAGAGACGGGAAGGGAAGGGAAAGGGGAAACAATATGGCTTGAGTGACGTAGCGATGGACCCGGCGATACGAATGAGAGGGAGCGAGGGGGGACAGTTTATGGCTGACTCACCTTGAGCACGGGGGAGAGCACCGGGGGAAGTGATAGGGCGTGGTGGGGAAATGGCGAAATGGCGTACGAGGCTCGCGGTTCGCAGCGCGTGTGATGAGGGGGAACTGGGGGGGAGAAATGGGGGAGCGCCGGCGGAAATGAGGGGGAGCAGCAAGGGAAATGAGAGGGAGAAGAGGGAGAAGTGAGGGGGAGCAGTGGGGGAAATAGAGCAAGGGAGGCGATGAGAGGAAGAAGGGGGACCCAGGGGAGACGGGGTGGGGAGGAGATGGATAAAGAGGGGAAATGAGAGGGAGTAGTAGGGGGAAGTGTGGAGAAGCAGTGGGGGAAATATCGAGGGAGCAGGGGGGGGGAATGAGAGGAGGAAGGGGGAAAATGAGAAGGACGAATGAGAGACGAATGAGGCGAATGATAGACGAATGATAGACGAATGAGAGACGAATGAGACGAATGATAGACGAATGAGACGAAGGAGAGACGAATGAGGCGACCGCCTCGCGGAGCGCAGCATTAGAGGCGAATTAGACATTCGCCCAGCAGAGGGTGAGCGTGAAGCCAATGACGTGCTAAGCGAGGCGTCCTATGGGTCGCAGGAGACGCACTCGCCTATGGGAAAACTTGAGAGGACTTGCAGTGGGTGAGGCGCTAAGCGGTGCGTCGGTAAGCGGGGAGGCGCTAAGCGATGCCTCGAGGCGCTATGCGGTGAGGCGCTACGAAGTGGGGCGCGGAACGGTGAGGCGCGCAGCGGGGCATTAGGCGGGACGCGGGTCACGCGCTTAGAGGTGTCGCGCGCCGCGGGTTCGACGTGCATATCGCCGGCGAGGGCTCGGCATCGAGTGCGGCGCGCGTCAGCCAAAGCTAGTAAAACTTCTCTCGAGATGCCTTTGCACGAGTCTATTCAAAAATCGCGCCAGCCATGCCATGTGACACGTGTCCCCTTACCCCCAGCGTGTTCTTTAGTGGTAGCGCTCCTCCTCGCGCCGATTAGTCGCCATTGGTGTAGTTGTATCATTGCCTTTCCTAAAAATTAGTCACTTATCCTTCAGTGTCTGAGCTTCCCAGTCCAGGGGTTGGGTGACGGGAGTGTTTCTCATGTTCGCAACTACCAGGCCTCCAAAGTTTCGCCTGCTCTTTTCGCCAGGCTGCTGGTTTTCGTTGGGGCTCCTCTCTGGGTGGGTACTGTTCCACACCAACAGTACAATCAAATGTATCAAATGTTGCATCTGGTATAATCATCTAGGTCGTTTACATTCACTAATGACATGTGGTCACTGCAACATCACCTGCGATCAACCCTGACCCGATCCCTGGGTAAGCCCCTTCTAGGATTGTAACATTGTTTACCCCTCTAAAGGGGGTATATTGCAAACTTGCCAAAATAAATGACCCAACCCAACCCCGTATTTCAGACCCGAAATATTCTGTTCCGATGGGTCTTATATCTGGGAGATTACGGTACATCGGAACAAACACATATTAATCCGTTCATTTGCTCCAGGTTTTAACCGGCACTTCCATGAAATCTCGTCAACAATCGTGTATGGAGGGCATTTTTGCATTATACTCGTTACTATTTTATGTAGGGCCGTCAATCTGCAAGCTACCTTCATGCAAAGCTTCAATTCGGAGCTTCTTGCCGTAGGCCCTCATTGTATGGTCGCTTTCTTTAGTCATTCTTACGGTATTTGTTATATCGTGCAAAATTTGTGCACATCTCACAACCCGTTTTACAAACAATAGTTGTTTGGACCTAACACAATTGTTTGGACCTTGCCTTATCGAAATGTCACTTTAAGGCAGTTACTTGACAGCTTGCGACAACTAATGTCTTGGGAGCAGGCCGCAAAGGACAAAGCCTTCACGAGCTTGCTTTTTTGTTCCCCTCCCTCCCTTCTCTACGAATGTCGGTTCGGGACTGTAGAGCGTTCTGTACGAAAAAATGCCTCTCTGTGACGCCCACATCGATTCTGGTTTTTGGGGGTAGTGTACTGGACGCTCCTGACGTCTAATTTCTCTTGGTCTTCACCTCGCACAGCCAGTTTCTAGTAATGTAATGCCCTTTCATATGGTAATAGCCAGCCCAAACACCAGAATACAGTCTCACGGGCAGTTGGAGAGGAAATATCAGTTGAGAGGGTGCAGTTGAAATACGACAAAAACATTCCCCCCCAGGTTCGTAAGGTGCCCTGCTGCTAGCCTATGTCTCTTGTCGTAAGGAAGTCGCGCGCAGACCCACACAAGAGGCTCCTCCTCACAAGTCCGCACATGTGGCAACATGGTTGAAAACAAATTGGTTCCTCCCGACCAACCTGAGGTTGTGACGATCTACGCTCAACCAGCACCAACTTTCGCATGAGTTTCGGGATGCGAACCAGAACGAACCGAGGCCAACGCCTGTTGGCGAATTCCTGGTTGGTGCCTGAACTGGGTTTTCTGTGAGCCACCGCTGGACATGGAAAACGACACATCTCTAGGTATGCTGCATGGATATTTTGTAACTGTGTGGAAATGCTGCAGAAGTGACATTTTGGGACAGATAAATACAATTGTGTACTCCCGAACTCTGTCCAGACCACGTGTAGCTGTAACATTTATGTATCTTCAAATGAACTTGGCATGTTAGCTCGCATCATGGTTCACATCGGTCGTGGGCGAAACGAGCGCGACCACCTTTCGCCTACGATTCCTTCTCTCTGTTCCCCGAATGATTATCCCTCACCTCAAGCCTGCGGCAGTCTGACGTGTCAGCCTTGGTGTGCGAGAGGATGGCAGTCGTTGCGCAACAACCAGCGGCACCAACAACTCGCCAACATCGCAACACCTCCTGCTGTGCTTCATAAACACAACACACCCACAGAGAGCAAGCAATAGAAAGCAACCATTCCGTACTACTTATTCCACAACAAGCAGCTCGCTAGGAGTCATAGTTTCCTTCACTACCTTGGTAAACACGTAGCTTATCAGCGCTAGACCATGGTCGGGAATCCGTGTAGGCTTGCGTTAGCATCTTCTACCCCGTCGCTGCATTCTGTTCCTCCCTCGTCGCCATTGTCGCGCGCGTGACTTCTTTCCTAAGTTTCCTCACTCTCCGCACCTCACATTCCCGCTGTGCCCCACCCTCTAATCATTGCACATTTTTAATAAATGATTCCTCCACCGCCGCCGTCTCCTCTCCCCCCCGGGCCTCCGACGCCACTCCCGTCGCTCGCCGACGTGTGGGACGAGGACGCTTCGCCGTCGCCGTCCCCCGACGCCTCTCGCCAGCCCGGCCCGTCGCTCAGGGAGAAAGCGCGAGCCGCGGCCGCAGCAGTCGCCGCCGCAGCAGCGGCAGCGGGCAGAGACGGCACAAATGGCGCCACAACCCGCGGGTTTCTCCCGCAGATCGCGGAGCGGCCGGAATTGCCGTACGCGAATGGGCCGAGAGGGCGCTTGGAGGACGAGGCGGGCGCGACGGGCAGCAAGCTGCAGTCGCGCGACGTGAAGCGGCGGCTCCGGCCGCTGAGCATCGACTTCGACCAGCAGGACGACGACCATCGCGCCGCCGGCAGCAAGGCCGGCAAGGGTTCCGCCGCCGCCGCCGCAGGAACGGGAGCGGCGATCGGGAACGGCATGACGTCGGCGGGGGCGGGCGGCATGTCTGCGGCGGACGAGGGTAACGATGACATCGAGATGCTGCTGTCGCCGGGCGTCCTCGTCTCCGCGCGCATCCCCAATTTTCCCCCTGTCGCGCGGCCCTCTCCGCGCTACCGGCTATTCCCGCACGGGCTGTCGGGCGCGGGGAGCTCGTTCTCCGCGGACAACATCCGCGCGTGGTTCGAGCGCGTGCTGGCGTCCGTGACTCCGCCCAGCCTGCCCGGGAAGCTCGCCGTGGGCCCCGCCGTGCTGATGGGCGCGCTGCTGCTCATCGTGCTCGCGCTGCTCGCCGCCACCATCGCCGTCTTCTCGCGCGCGGACGGCGGGGACGGCGGCGACGGCGTGGGCGTGGCGGCGTGGGAGGAGCACGTGGTGCGCGTGAACGAGGTGCAGACGCTGGGCAGCCGGTACAGCTACCACGCGGCGTCCGAGCCCGACGTGATGCAGTGGATGCAGGAGGCGGGGCTGTCCACCATGATCGCCGCCTCCAACTTCTCGCACAGCCCCATCAACGACCAGCTGCACGCCGGCTACCGCTTCATTCAACTCGACGTGAGTCACGCCAAACACGTGTATGCGGGGGGAAGGGGGTGTTTGGGGGGGGGAAAGGAGAGGGGGGGTGGGGGGGGTCGTAGTGTGCGTGCGAGTTGCGCTGCAATGCCGTGCGCGCACGCTGCGACGCGCGCGCGCGGGGCTGGCAGTGCTGTGAGGGCGAGGCGCAGGTGAGGACGATGGGGGTGATGTGCGCGACGCACTTTGATGCCGTAGCAGGGCTCGCAATGCTGCTCGCACGTGCATGTGCGCGCTGCACGGCGCCATACACGGGGGCATGTCACCTCCGCGGCTAGCTATTCAGATTGATCTTGCGTCACACCACCACAACTGCGCCTCTTCCCCACGCACTCCCTCCGCGCCTCCATGAACCCTTCCCCCCCATGTCCCCCCGTATCCCCCTGGCATGCGCAGGTGTTCTACGACCCGGCGGGCGGGCGGTACTTCAACCGCAAGGTGTACGAGCAGCTGGGCCGCCCCACCGCCTCCATGCGCCCAGAGCTGCAGGCGCCGGGCTTCAAGGTACTCTCCCTCCCCCCCCAATGCCCCCACTCTCACCCCTTCCACTCGCTTTCAACCCATCGACCTCTCCAAGCCGCGCCACCCTCCCCCCCTTCCCAAGCCCCCTTACACCCTCTTTCGCGCCTAAAAACACTTAGCCGTGATAGGAGTGGCAAAGAAAGCGCGCCTGCTATGCCATGAACGCACGTGAATGCAGGGTCCAGACAGGCTGAGAGAGGCACACAGCACGGGACAAAGCAGTGAAGCTAGAGCAGCAACAATGCAGTACGGCTCACCACAACCACAACTGTCATGGCTGCTCGACTGTACCCTCTCGCCCCGCTTTCCTCCTGCTTCCCTCTCCTTGGCACCACCGCTCACTCACCTCACCTGACGAGGCGCTCTCTCTCCTTGCCTCGCTCTACCATCAACGTCCTCATGCATGCACCACTCTCCCCGCCCCCTCCCACACGTCAACTCACATCCCCCCTCCCCCTTCCGTCCCCTCTCCCCCCCTCTCCTCTCCCCCCTTCTTTCCATGCAGGTGCTGCGAGTACCGGACGTGGACTTTGGGTCGACGTGTCTGACGCTGCGAGACTGCCTGCTGCAGGTCATGGAGTTCAGCGACGCCTCGCCCCGCCACGTGCCCCTCGCCATCGCCATCGACTTTGGAGACGCCTCCGCCTTCATCCGCCCCCTCAACACACTCCTCACTCCGCCTCTGCCCATCGACGAGCAGGTATGCCCTCACAGGGGGTTCATGGTGCAAGGAAATGTGAAGAACAGGTGTTACATTGATAAGGCAATTGAGTTCCCACATGATGCATACAGTTTTATTCCACATCCGTTGCATGTAAAAGAAAGGCTTTCATGGTAATCATTGGGGAAGCAATAAAATAAATAAATAAATCACAAGAAAGAAAATACTTGTTTTTTTCAAATCCACTAGAAAACGAAACACCGTTAACGGGGTGGGCGTGTGCAAGCAAATTGGTGTGCGACGGATTGAAGTGTGTACTTGCTCGAGGACACACCTGGTGACGTATCCGGGAAGATTGTCTGACCGCAACAGTGGGTGAGAGAGTAAGAGGGAAGAATGGTTGTGGGCCATGTGAGTGCGGGGGGTGGATGGTTGTGATGTGAGTGCGGGGAAGGGTGGAGGAGGGGAGGGGGGTAAAGCATGTTAGGCAAAGCATTGTTGGGACATCGGGTAGTGTGGTGTGTATGCTGGGCGAGCAGTACTGGAAGGCATTGTCGCTGTTGCGCTGTGTGTGCTGCTGCTGGTGGGCACGGGGGTACCGTAGGGCTCACAAGCACACATGGCTGACAGCTGCTTGCGACACTTGACCTGGGCAATGCATTGCAGCTCAGTGCTGCTCTGTGCGCGCACATATGCTCGTGCTGGTTAGAGTGAAGGCAGTGAGGAAAGGGGGAAGATGTGGCTTGAGGCGTGTGCCTGCTTGTTGGGATGTGTGGGAGGCCGAACCGAGGATGCAACATTTGTCTGATGCTTAATCGATTGCCCCTCACTCAAGCAAGGGCAAGCACAAAAGAGGCATGTGCATGAGATGCATGCCGTGCATGCTACACCCACTAATTCACCCCTCCGTAAACTCATATCCCCACCTCTTTCCCCTCTCTACTCCCCCCCTGCTCCTCTCCGCCCCCCTTCTTTGCCGGGCCACACCAGTGTCTGTTGGACCTGGAGGCGGAGATCCTCTCAGTGGTGCCGCGCGCGCGCATCATCACACCGGACGACGTGCGGGGCACGCACCCCACGCTCAACACGGCCGTGCGCACGGGCCTCGCGTGGCCGTCGCTCGCCTCCGCGGCGTCCCACATGGTCTTCTTCCTCTCCTCGCGCAGCGCCATCTCCCAGTACCAGCGCATGGCGCCCACGCTGGAGGGGCGCCTCATGTTCACGGCGCACACAGCAGCGGGCGAGGGGGACATCCCGCATTCACCGGACCAGGCAGCTCTCATTGTGGAGTCGCTGGGGACCACGGCGCGCGACCTGGTGGCGTCGGGGCACTTTGTCATCTGCCCCGTGCTGTCGCTGCGCTCACCGCTGGCGCGCTTCATGTGGGAGCAGGCGGTGGCGGCGGGGTGCCAGGTGATCATTGTTGACGACCTCTGGAACGAGCTGCCCCACGCCCTCTCCCACCAGACCGCCGCCCGAGGGGCTACTGAAGCTGCTGCTGGGGGGGATGAGGGGGAGGGCGGGGCAAGGGGAGGGAGAGGGGGCGAGGGGGAGGGGGAGGGGGAGGGGATGGAGGTGGCTCAGCTGGTGGATGCGGGGACGGGTGTGCAGGCGCGGTGCATCAAGAAGCTCAACCCCAGCGCGTGCGAGTCCGCTCCCTGGCAGCACATTGCAGAGCCGCTGCCCGGGCAGTGAAGTCAGAGACCGGGTATGGAAGACAGCTGAGAAAGGCTGACGACGATGCTGCATGGTGCAGCAGTGAAAGCAGGGTTTGGATTGGCTGGGCAAGGCATTGTCGACTGAGGAAGCAGTGAGAGGTAGAGGTGGGAGGGAGTTGGAGTGAGGAGTGATGGGCTCACAGGGGGCAGTGAGGAGAGTGCCATGCACATGCTCAACACAACACATGTGGGGCTGGGGCACCAGGGAAAGGCTGTTGCGTGGGATGGAGGTGCATAGGGCTATGGGGGGACCAGCTGGACTCTGAGCAAAAAGCCGTTATTTGCGATTAATCAGATAGCAAGGGGTGCGTGTCTTTGTGTAAACGGTCACTCGTCCCTGGCAGTTATCAGAGCACTGCGTGCTGGGCTGGTGCTCCAGATGTCAGGGGTTCTGGGTTTGCTGTGTCAGGAATTAGTTTGTTAGGATTCAGAACGAGACATACGGGGTACCGTACATTTCCAGGGTTCCACAGTTGTTTACTATATTTGTACAAGATTCTGTACGACGGTCGACGGACCCCTTAGCAAGCAAACGTAACGTAAGGTACTACCGACAAGGCACTCACAGACCAATGTTAGGGTACATTCGTGGCAGGGCTGACGTTATCAGGGTAATTACCCTGATTTCAGGGTGATTTCAGCCTTCTCACCTGCTGGTCCCTGTGAAATCAGGTTGTTCACATTTTTGTCCCTGATCCATTCAGAGTATTGGTTTAGCGGACCCTGATATTCTCTGTACACTCTCAGTGTAGTGTTTTCCTGGACCCTGTCAATACAGAGTACGCGACCTGTGGACCCTGAAAGCGATGGTATCGGGACGAAGCTTCGTATAGGTTTCGTCCCGATACCCCCCCATGTGGGTAATCATGATTTCACACTTACCCATGTGCTCGATTCGTTTCACGCGCACAAGTGACATAATACAGACAGAGAACACAACTGTGATTTGTACAGCATCGATGTACAACACAGCTGTCAAATTCGACAACGCAACAAAAGGCATCATATTTACTGCCACGCGCACCGCGCACAGCACAAAACGTGTCCCTCATTGGCGGGAGACAGATGGTGGCAGTAATCGCCAGCATTGATGCAGTCGTTCAATGTATTCGGCCTGCATGAAAGGCCGAATACAATGACGGCTCGATGTTTCGACCAAGGCACCACCAATTTCGTGGCGCCGCGGTGGATTCTTGCTGACCCCACCTTCTCCCTCCATCTCTTGCTTCCCTTCTCCCACAGCTTGGGTCGGATTCTTGCTGCTGTTATGTTCAGATTGTTCAATTCTTTTCTTCGTTTCTCTCTCTCCCCATCTCTAGCTTCTCCCCGCCATGGAAGGCCAGCAGGCTGACGAAGACGCGCCGCAGGCTGGGTCAGATGAGCCACCGTTACCGCCGAAAGCCATGGAGGAAATTTTGCCGGAGAACCGTTGTGAAGCCCGTCGCTCGGGGCTTGATTTTCTTAGAGGTTCCGCTGCTCCAGTAACACCTGATCCACCTAGGTCTACCGTAGATGATTCTGCAGTTAAAGAAACGCCCACACCTGACGAATCTCCCCGTGAGGCCGCCTTCACTCTACCCCCGGCTGTTGCTTCTTGCAGCTACGATCCCCAACCGGCCGCGCCAAGTCCCACACCAAGCACCGTGCGGGTGTCTGTTGGTCCGCCGTCGGCTACCTCCACTCCGAAGAGAGCGCGTTCAGGGAAGTAGGCGCAGCATACCCTGCTCATGGGAGGCCGCTGTCTCTCTGCTTCGAACACTCCGGCTGTTCCGCCAACTGCTGCAGCCGCACCGCCAGAGGAAGATGTGTTCCCGATCCGCGCTGACACCGGCTCGCCCGCCCTCACCAAGGCGCAACTGCGGGAGCAGATGTACCTGGAGGCCAGCATCATGTACGATACGAGGTGGTCGGGACAGTTCTCTTGGCTTGTCTTCGGGAAAACCAAGGAGGGGTTTCCCTATGTGAAGTGCAGCGTCTGCATGGCCTACGGGAAGGAGAACACAAGGTACGCGAGGCAGGGTGATGACGGAGGCCGTGACCTGCAGACGCAGGCGTTTCGTGCACACGAGCACACGGACGCGCACACAGCGGCTGTTGATCGGCAGCTGAAGATTGCGAAGGGCATCCGCGAGGGGCAGCAAGTGATTTCGAACTTCATCAACTCGGACGTCGAGGGCAGGCGCGCAGTCCGACTGTTGCGGTCTGTTGTGTTTCTGTGCAAGTGCGACGCGCCGATAAGCATGTACCCTAGGCTGATGCGGCATCTTGCGGAGCAGGACACGCCCGACATCCCGAGGCAGTCTTATGGTGTCTATCTTACAAGGTAGGGCAATTTATTTACCAGCTTGCTGTATTGATTGCGTTCATTTAACTAATTTTCGCCAGGTGATTAACTAGTTGACATGCATCCCTGCGCAGGTACGGCTTCCAGCAGATGGTTCACTGCCTCAGTACGTACTTAACGAATGTGCAAATGGACCACATCAACTCCTCGCCGTTCCTGGGCCTTCAATGTGTCGAGAGCACCGACCGAACGCGTGGTAAACACATGATTGTTTACCTGACCTTCATCAAGGAGCGCCGAGTCGTCACCGAGTTCTTCACCCTTCTGACTGTGGAGAAGTGTGATGCTGCGTCCCTGTTCGAGGTGCTCATGAATCATCTGCGCTCAGCGGCCGTCGACGTGTCCAAGCTTGTCGGAATGAGTACGGACGTGGCTTCGGTCATGATGGGGAAGGACAATGGATTGGTGGCGCGGATCAGGGAGCACGTACCGCATTTCTTTTCCTGTCACTGCATCGCGCACCGGTAAGATGTACCCTCCAGTTATTGATCCACTTCAATGTGCTCGAATGATTGCTAATCTAAAATTATCTATAATGAGTTTCGCAGGGAGGCGCTGGCTGTTAAGGACGCGGCGACGTCCAACCCCGACCTGGGCATGGTGGACAAGGTGGTGCGCACCGTGGCGGCAAAGCTTGGAGATTCGTCGGTCTGGAGCCAACGCTTCAAGTACCTGCAGCGTGTGATCTACAACACTAACCTCGAAGTCCAGGGGATCCACACGGTTCGCTGGCTGTCGCGCGGAGATGCGGTGAGGCGGCTGTGCAAGGTGCTCGGTGCGTGTATCGTTCTTCTCTGGGAGAGGAGTCACAAGGTGTACGAGATCGTTACGTGCTACAAGTTCCAGTTCTGCCTGTTCTTCCTGGCCGACATCCTCGCCGACATGAACGACCTCAACCGCTGTTTCCAGAAGCGTGATGTGAGTTAGTTGAACATTCCGCGAAGACGCCACGTCCACTGTCTACTTTCCCGTAATTGTTGGATATTGCCTAATCTGTCCGGTATGTGTGTCGTTACAGATTGATGTAACGGAGATTTCCAAGACCATCGAGGCCACCACGGCGGATCTGACGGAGCGGTATTTTGATACCGACAAGCAATTCGGGGGTGAGGGCAAGTGCTGGCTGGTCGGCTTTCTGAAGCTGTACGGGCATGGTGGAGGCAAGAAGGTTCGTGTAAGAGGCGTGGACGGGGAGGGACGCCCAGTCAACCATATGTACACCATTCACGAGCGGAAGCTCCCGGGGCACAAGGTGGGGAGCGGGTACGAGGACTGCGTGAAGCTGTGCCGCAGTTTTGCCCGCGATTGCGTGGGCAATCTCAACGAGCGGCTTGATGACCTGGGGAAGCTGGGGCCGACGAAGCTGTTTCGTTCAGGAAAGTGGCCGAAAATCAAGGCTCAACGGGAGAAGAAGTGCCGTGAGTGGCTTCTGGGATGCAGCAAACTCTTCCGCCACAAGCTGCCGGGATTTGACCTCAAGGCCGCAGAGAGAGAGCTTCCCACATTCTGCGCGATCATGGAGGCGCACCACGAGCTGGAAAGCTTCACGCAGGGACTGTCCAACATTCTCGGGAGCACAGACTCGAAGAGGTATGTCCCTGTAGTGTAACAGCATGGTATGCCAAGCGGGTGGCGAATGTATTTTGCATGTTATAACTCTCTTTCCCTTCCGTCTCCGACAATGTGCCTGGCAGGAGATGGCCCAACCTCGTCCTCATGTGGCAGGCGATCGCGGTGCTCCCCCTGTCAACTGTGGAGTGCGAGAGAGGATTTTCAAGGCAAAATGTGATCAAGTCTTGGGTGCGCGGCGCTCTCTGCAACGCGCGGCTGGGGCAGCTGATGCAGATTTCGCTACTGAAGTACAACATCGAGAGTGGCCTGACGCCCTGGAGGTCTGGAGGTCTATGAGGAGGAGGCGCCCCGCAAAGACCGTGAAGCTTGCTGTGGCTGAGCGTGAAAGGAGGGGGAAAGCAAAGGAGGGTGAAGTCGAAGCAGGAGCTGCCCACCAAAACGACGGGGAGGAGGAGGAGGAGGAGAAGGAGGAGGAGGAGGAGGAGGAGGAGGAGGAGGAGGAGGAGTGTGATGTGGAACAGGTAATGGGCGACGATCAGGAGCTTGTGGGGGAGGAGGAGGAGGAGGACAACCCCTTCCTTTCGGACGATGAGGATGTGGAGGAGGTGTTCCACATCGATAGGCCTGTGCACTAGAGTAGACAATGTAGGAGGAGGAAGTTGTTACATGCTGTACATTGCAGTAGTCAAATAAAAAATTTTGAACCACAACCCTGAACTTAGGCTGTCAACCCTGACAAATCAGAGTGACTAGTTGAATTTCGTGGCCCGTGTCAGACTTCAGGTCAAAAGCCCTTAGTCTCCAATTTGGCTCATCCGAACTCGGATTTGCCTCACAATCGAGCCACTTCGGGTCTTCCGAGCCTCCACTTCGGGTCTGACCTGATGTCCGACACGGGCCACGAATGTACCCTTAGTATTGCCAGAGACGGCAATAGTGCACTGAACTTTTAGGTGAGCTCTGTTGGGCTGAGAAAAGCCCTTTGGATATTTCAAGGCTAAGACTCTGATAGGAATGTTGTATTGCGGAAGCGTTTTAATGAGAAGTTGTTGAACCACCTTGTACTAGTATGTGAGAACAAGATAGATTAAATTATAAAAAGGTAATACAAGCTTTTATAAGATTACAAGGAATATGAAAGGATGCAATAACCGTTTTACTGTTGCTGTTGCGGTTCGATACAGTGACGACTCGGGCAACTGCTCGGTATCGAGTCAGTTGTTTGTCCTTGCTGTCGTGCTGTATTTGTCGAGTCAAAGGTCGCTGACCTTTGACCTTCGCGTAACCTCCAGCTGTTACTTTTCTGTCAACCTCCTCAGTTGACTCGCCATTGCTTCGCTGTAGCTTGCCTCGTTTACGATTCGATGTTACGACACACAGGAAGCGTTAAGTTACTTGTTTCCAACACTCCCCTTCGCTTCCGGAGTGTCGTTGCTGGTGACGTGTCCTTGCCAGTCAGCAGCATGCAGTACTCGAATTTATGCTTTCCGAGTTTCTTGGTCAAATAATCGGCTGCCATCTCGGACGTGGGGCAGTTGGATAGCTCGAGTCTCCCTTTCTCAATCTCGTCTTTCACGAAGAAGTATCGCAGAGCGATATGCTTCATCCGGTTCACGAACCCGTTCTTGTTCGCTATGCGAATTGCAGATTGGTTGTCGCAGAACACAGAGAAGCTAGGTAACTGGGCCAGCTTTGCTTCTTCCAGCAGTTCGCGAAGGTACAGTCCTTCCTTGGAGGCTGAGCAGAGTGCAATGTATTCTGCTTCGGCTGAGGAGAGGGTGTCATAATAGTGAAGGAACGAAATGACAGAACTAGCAAGCAGGTGGGTACAAGTAGGAAACCTAAAAGTGTTGTACCCTATATTGACTACCCCACTACAGCCTACACAGACTATGTCATATATATTTGACACACACCCATAGGCAAAATAGGAGAACAAGAGGTCACAAGACCGGTCAAGAAAAGCAAAGCAAGCTCAGGGTGGATCACGACGTCACCACGCAGTCTGAGCACAAGCAGATGGCCACAAGACCAGTTCACATGCAGAGTTATATAAAGGAGAACAAGCAATACAGTGATCACAACCTAGCAAGTGCACGCATGCAGGTATAGGTATAGAGATCACAGTACAAACAGAGTCAAGAAGTAAGCAAGTGAGTCACAGTAGGCACAAGGCCTAGAACAGTACAGAAACGCTGATGATCACAAGGCTGAAGCGCCTTGGTGAAGACATCAGCAGTGTTGGCCCGAGTGGCCACGTAAGCAAGACGAAGCTGACCACGCTGCTGCAACTCTCGAGCAAGGAAGTAGCGCAGAGCGATGTGCTTCATCCTGTGCTCCAGTCTGTGCTCCTGACACAAGGCAATCATGGCCTTGTTGTCGACGTACAGCACTGGAGGAGAACGAAGCGGCTCTCCCAGGTCGGTCAGCAGGAAGGTGAGCCAGCGTAACTCCTGTGCAGCCATGACCCCTGCGTAGATCTCAGCCTCACAACTGGAGCTGAGAACAGAAGACGAGCGGGTAAACCGCCAAGAGACAGAGCCGGAGCCAAGACTGAAGGTGTAACCCTGTGACGACCGCTGCGTAGCCAATTCGTCAGCCCAGGAAGCGTCTGCGTGACCAGTGAGGACAACTCGAGCCCGTCCTCCAAGCACGAGCCCCATGCCCGACGTACTGCACAAGTAGCGCAACACCCTCTTAGCGGCATCCATGTGCTCCTTCCGGTGACGGCCAGGAGCAACATAGCGTGCTAGAATGCTAAGAGGGTATGCAAGGTCAGGTCGAGTGCAGGTCATCAGGTACATGAGGCAGCCCACAAGCTCTGGGTACGGGCCACTCGGCTCTACGGACTCGTCCGAAGGTGGAGCTGAGAGCGAGTGACCGGTAGGCAGAGGAGTGGACTGTGGCGAGGAGTACGTGAAGCCGAAGCGCTGAAGGACCTGCTGCACCATGTGTGACTGAGTCAAGGTAATGGTGCGCTGTGCTCTGTCCCGGGTGATCCGCAAGCCAAGATAGCTTGTCAGCTCACCCAGGTCTGTGCACGTGTGTCTCTTCTGCAGCTCCGACTTCACGTGGGCGAGTCCCTCAGTGTCAGCAGTAGCAAAGAACAAATCGTCTACGTACACGAGAACGTAGAACGACGGCAGAGTGGTGTCGGTGCGTAGAAACAGCGACGGGTCAGCAGTAGAAGGAGCAAACCCAAGAGCAGCAAGAGTCGTCCTCAGTGTGTCGTGCCACTCACGGGGTGCCTGGCGGAGACCGTAGACTGGCCGCCAGAGGCTCCACTGGGTACCAGCAGGAAACGACCCAGTGAAGCCAGGTGGGCGGCGCTGCCCTGTAGGAAAGCAGTGCTGAAGTCAAGAGAGTGAAACTCGTAGTCACGCTGAGCGGCGACGTGCAGCAGCACCCGAAGAGTGGTCATCTTCGGGGTAGGGGAGAAGGTCTGGAAGAAGTCAACTCCCTGTCGCTGACTGAAGCCTCGTGCAACGTAACGCGCCTTGAAGACAGGCGGAGAACCCGGCGGCCGCTTCACCCTGAAAATCCACATGCCACTGACGATGTTCGCCCCAGGTGGGGGAACCTCGTCGACGTAGGTGCCTGTGGACTTCCAGGAAGCCATCTCTGTGTCCATGGCTGTCTGCCACTAAGAGGAGTAGGGACCCTCTATCGCCTATGCGTAAGAGCGCGGGGTCGGGATGTCTGGTGCATCCGGGTCTCCCTCAGGGGCAAGCAGCATGGACATGAGATGAGGTAAAGCAGCGGCAAAGCACTCAAACTCCTCCTGTCTGTCCTCAAGAACGTCCGTGCCAAGAGCACACTCACCCCCGACGGACGGAGGACAGACAGACTCAGACTCAGACTCAGCAACAAGGCTAGCAGCGTAGTCTAGACGACAGGCGGCAGCAAAGTCAACAAGCTCAGCAACTAGAGCAGACGCAGCAGTGGACTCAAACGAAGGGTCAGTGACAACAGTGGCCAGGAAACGCGTGACAGTAGGACTAGCAGCACGAAGGGAGTCAGACTCCGGGTCCGGACCGTCAGGAAGAGAGGACGCAGGAGGAGACGGCAGAGGGACACGCTGTGGAGCAGTGGAAGGACGCAGAGTCATATAGTGAGTGCCAGGGACAGGCGGAGTACGCTCACGCGGAACACGACGACCAGTGCGGACAGCGCGAGCAGGCGACTCAGGACGAGACTCAGGCGACGCAGGACGAGACTCAGGCTCACGACGCTCCGTAAGACCTCTAGTCGGTCCAGAGTAAGGAGAAGGACCAGGCAGTGGAGAGGCTGGCTGTAACTGCGACTGCGACTGGACAGGCGGTGGACCCAGTAAGGGAGGAGTAGGACCAGTAGAAGGCGGGAGGCCAAGAACCTGCTGAAGGAGCAGAACGTAGTACGGCCGCGGCCGCGCAGCGCCTCCAGAACCAGCAGAGACAGCACCAGTACCCCCAGCTCCAGGGTCCCCAGCTACAACTCCCGCAGCACCACCAGCTGCAGCACCTCCAGCAGCTCCAGCTCCAGCAGCACCTCCAGCAGCAACAGCTCCAGCACCAGCAGCACCTCCAGTAGCAGCAGCTCCAACTCCCGCATCGCCACCAGCTCCAGCGCCAGCAGCACCTGCAGCAGCAGCAGCTCCAACTCCTGTAGCACCACCAGCTCCAGCAGCTCCAGTACCTCCAGTACGAGCGCCTCCGGGACCAGCGGCTCCAGCACCTCCAGCAGCTCCTGCACCAGCAGGACCTCCAGCTGCTCCAACTCCAGTAGCTCCAGCAACTCTAGTGCGAGCACCTCCGGGACCAGCGGCTCCAGCGCCCCCAGCAGCTCCACCACCAGCAGGACCTCCAGCAGCTCCAACTTCAGCAGCTCCAGCACCAGTAGTACCTCCCGCAGCTCCAGCTCCAGTAGCCCCAGCAACACGGCGACAGCGCCGAGCGTACCACTCTCGCAGCTGCTGTGGAGAGAGGGACTCCCGCCGTGGCAAGACACCCGGAGGACCTCCAGACTCAGCACGCGCAGGCTCAGCACCCCCAGACGCAGCACCCCCAGGCTCAGTACCCCCAGGCTCCACACGCTCAGGCTCAGCACCCCCAGGCTCCGCACCCTCAGGCTCAGCACCCCCAGACTCAGCAACCCCAGGCTCAGCACCCCCAGGCTCCGCACCCGCACCCTCAGGCTCAGCACCCCTAGCAGTACCAGAGTCGACAGCAACCTCAACAGGCTCGACAGGGTCTACCTGAGACACACCTGAGGGGGCAGGACCCTGAGGGGGGAGGGGGTCTACCGGAGGAGCACCTGGTGCTAGGAAGAGCGGCGGGGGGGGGAGAGGGGCAGTGCGGTAGGGAAAGAGACGGTAGTAAGATACCGACTCGTCAAACGTGACGTCCTGAGAGGACAGAACACGGGAGGACAGCTTGTCCGCGGAAGAATCGCGGACAAAAGCTCGAGATCCCCAGACACGGAACACAGACGCATCGCCAACCTTCCCCGTCCACCGCAGAGTAGGTGTGGTCTCCGGCAAGGAGACACGAGGCTGAAGGTTGATTTGATGCGCAGCTTACTGAACCGCGAACGGCCACAGAAAATGGGGAGCAGCCGCATGGATCATGGACGTACGAGCGACATCCATGACCATGCC